GTCTTGGTCGATGTTCCCTGGTTCCTGGGGTTAACCCGCGGGATCGGTTACAAGGCGATCCGGCCAGCCGATTGGTTCATTTTGTCAGCGACACCCGCCCACGCTGCGTTATCGCGCAACTACTCTGCCTGTCTGCCTCTCTCTTCCGTAGCTCGTCTCTCGTTCTATCCGTCTCTCCTCCGCTTCTCCCCGTTTCGTCTCTATCTGTCTCTCGCTGCTTTTATCTGTCCATTCCGTCTCTCTGTCTCTCACCATCGATAATCCGTTCTTCCCACATCGCGTTCTAACACGCGTTTCGTGCCCGAGACTCGAGCCTACCGACTCGCTTTTGACCTTCGACGAAAAGGAAAAAAAAATGAAATAAAAGATCGTCTGGACACGACTCTAAGATTGTTAACGGTCGATGACTCCGCAATTTTTCGACGACCTGGCGTGGAAGCCGTGTGACGTGCGAATCTGTGGGAAGGACGGAGCGATTTCAGCAACAACGTGCTCATTCTCGCGCGGTATCGTTTTAATCGTGGAGCGACACGCGAGTGTAATGAGAAATTGCTAATGAGAGGTTTTATAAATAAAATAATAATTACCATTTCGGGGTGCATGCATTTTTCAGCGTCGTACATCGTATAACGACGCGAGAGAAACGCACGAGTTCCACTTGCGATAGCGATTTCATTATCATCGGGATCGTGTGTCCGGCGTTGTCGAATCGCGCGGCATAAATGTTAAGCCATTTTAATGCGTCGATGCGTTTAACACGTTCCATGGATTATGCGCGAAATTTGCCACTCCGTTTAACAGTCAGGACCGGATAGGATGTATAATGGATGCGAGGATGCGGACAAAATACTCATGATGGTCCGTTGTAATGTCATAATAATCTGTTAATATATTTTCGCGCGAACGTATGTACAGGCGCAAATAATAATAATAATAATATTAATATTAATAATATTAATAATAATAATGCTTCATTTCTTCTTCATATATTTATATATGTATAATTCCGTATCGATAGTCTTTACGTAAGTCTTTACCTATAATATATGTATATATATATACTATATATATATGTATATTGTATGTATAGTGTACGTACTGTCGTAATATGTTCATATTTATAAGACGGATTATACAAGAATTTCGCTAATCGAGTCTATCTACAAAGAGGAGGGCGAAAGCGTGAGGTTCCTATCGTCTCGCGCTTAAGATCGATTGGCCATACCCGGCCTCGAAGTTCTCTCCTACACTTTTTTCATTCCCAGAATGACGCAGGCCTTCCCCAAAGAGCCAGGCGATTAATGAAATATACAATGTCGCTAGTTTCTACTTAACCTAACGGGGAGGGAATTGGCGGGGGGAGTGTAAATTTGACTCGTTCGGGTATCGCACTCTTTCCTACAGAATAAGTCGTGTTTCTCTCGTTCAGATCCGAGCTGTTTTTGTAGTTTTATCTAGAGTATGAAGCTTTCTTACTCTCCGCATACGAAGGATTACACTGGTAATAGTACAATAGAACACATGTACAATCATACTAATAACATGGACAATCGACATATAAACAATTATGCTACGAATGTAACCGAGGTCCCAAAATTATATTACTAACTCACAAAATAAAAGTCATGAAGAAGAGACAATAGACATATATTTTGGTCTCTTCTGTGGATCAAATAAATAAAAAGAAAAAAATGTGAATCTCATAAGAATTTAGGATTTATGAGTGAGTCAGAGTAATTTTGAAATAACATGCAAAAAGAAATGAAATGATGAAATGTAAATAAAATTCATAAATCAACATGGAAATTATAATTTAACAGAAGAAAGGAGCGTGTGATCATATTCAACTTTGCTTTGAAAAATCTGGAGTTTGCTAAGATATCTGGCGATGTAGTTTTATTAACGACAAAGTAGAGAGCTATTAAGAAAGAAATGAAAATAGGTTTTATTGGTGACCTCAGTAATATGATCATCAACACAATTGTGCGTTTATGTTCGCTTGAAAAAAAAGAGAGAAAGACAAAATGAAGAAAAAGAGCTGCTCTTGAATACTAAAGAATATTTCGTTGCGGCTACGACATTTTCCGATTTCTCAAATATTGATATCGTAACGCAGTGGTTTCCGTGGCTAGATATTGAGGATTCGTGTTATCTGCGGCATCGACCATCAAGTTTCACAATGAAACCACTGCCGTAGCGAGTCCAACTTTGAGTTCTCTCGCATTCTCGTTATGTCATCTTGTATAGGCTGGTTTTGTTACTGTAACGTCCGACGCCGGCAAAATACAGGATTTTTACGTAAAAAAATAAAAAAAGGAATCCAACCAATATACATAGAAAAAAAATAATAGTTTCTTTAAAAAAAGTTTTTTTCACGATTTCGAAATCTTGAGAGTTACATGATTTTCAATCATGTAGTTACTTTTTTAAAACATAATTTCTCTATCAAATAGATTTCTGCATAATCGAAAGTAACTAAAAATAAAAGGTATGTAATTTTGAAAACGTGTACTTTTTCATGAAAATCCTGTACAACCCGCTGTATGATTAATCGATCTCGGAGACTATTCGTGATAGAGAGTATCAACTAGAAAGCGGCACTATTTACAAACTATAAGACTCACTGCATCTGGTTCTTGGATTTTGATGAACGGACGAGTCGGGAACGTCCAACGGAAGTTATGTACACGCCCTGACCGTTCGTTTTTTTTTTTTAATCCGAGAGATTGCACTTATTTAGCGGATTTGCACTCACTTTTCGAAGCGTCTATTCCCGCATTTTATAAGAGCGTCCTATCACACATCACCAAACGAATTCTTCCTAAGATTCATAGCGTAGTAACTTCTCATGTCTTCGAGTAGAATTTTCGACAATGTATCTACGTACTGATATCATTGAGTCATCTTCATATACATTGTTTTAAGCTCCTTAGATCTGTTTTTTTTTTGGTGATGTTAACTGTTGTGGAAGAAAGCCATCTTGCTAGATACTGATTCACATTTTGCATCTATCTTTGAATAATCTCCGTAGTTTTATCGATCCTCATTTGTTTCGTTATAACGGTCCTCATGAAAATGTGAAAAGTTTCCTCAGAATATCGTATCGGATCTGCGATGTCGCGCATACTTATAATTTCCTAGACACAACCGATTCTTCCTCGCATCTCGTAGAACTTGCCGATACATAAAGACCAAATCGTTGTCCACTCCATCGGATCCCCCGCCTTCACAACACCTCGAAGCGCTCGTTCGCGATGTCACCGCATCTATAGCTCTTTTTCGACATCGGACGATCATTTGTGTCGACGGCGTCTTGCGATTCGTCGTCCTTGTCGTATCACGCGGGCGTAAAGGGCCTGTGGATCCGCGGGTTTGGATTCGCCGGCGGTGGCGTGGCGACCCTTATCAGCCCCTGACCTTGGGACTGACCCTGAGGTGTCGGTTGACGCGGGGGTGGGCTGCCTCGTGACGAGGGGGTATGAGGGCTAGGTACTGCCACCCTCAGCGGACCAGTGACCGACAGGTTCGCCGCCATTAGTGGCGGGCTGTGGGCCTCCGATAAGCTGTCCGAAAGACGAGATAACCCGCCGTCGGATAATCGCGACGTTTCAGATATCCTAGATATTCCTTCGGACAGCTGGTGTTGGGGGTGCGGGTGGTGTAGCAGGCCTTCGTGCGGATGGAGTCTCGGCGGTGGCAAACCCAGCGAATCCGGCAGTCTGTAATAGAGTAAAGAGAGAACTGCATTTTCTCTGGAGAAAATACAGTTTAGCGGAAACGCGGTCTATTATGCGACATCTTGTTATTACATGATATGTGTATAATATAATATCAATTCGCATGTAATTTACATTGATTTATAAATTCTTGGGATAGATTGATAGAAATCGAAGAGAATAAGCAACGAAATGTCTCGAAAAGAAGCTCGTGAAAAGAAATCAGCTGCTAAAACTTACCTCGTCGCCGGATCACCCCTGGGCCCTACAGCCTGGAAAGGGCTCGACTCCGCGAACCTGAAAATCCCACCACCCGGCATATTCGAATGGTTAGGTTGCGGACTATGTGGTCCGAATCGGAAGCTCGTCGGTGGAAACTTGAAAGCCGTCTGACTGAATCGAAAGTGCGGCTGCGTAGGATCGAAGCGGAAATTCAAAGAGGGTGGTGGCAAAGGTCCGAGAGATCCAAGGGGTACTGGGGACGGTTGGTGGTTTGGTGGCGGCGAGGAACTTGGCGATGGCGGTGATGTTCCTCCGAGAGAAATGTCAGATTCCTCGCTGCTACTGCCACCGGGCCCCGGGCTCAGAGTACGCCGCGCGTTTCCGTTTCCTTGGCCCGACTGTTGCTGCATTCTGCTGCAAATAACGCGTAATTCGCGGTTATTAACCGATATTATCGATACATTTGAAACAAGGTTTAAGGACCGCGAAATGTTATTCGATGGTCACTGATATCTTAATAAACGAACAAGAGTAATTAAAGAGAAGATAATAAGCACTGTAAAAGTTTAATAATAAATTTTAGTAATATAATTTAGGTTCTCTAAGACTGCATACACAGAAAATATAGAAAAAAATTAACCAATACACATATCACTTAAATAAAGTAATAGACGAGGAAGAGATAAGAAGAAAGAAAGATAGTAAGAAATTATAATTACAATAGATATTTCTAAAAATTCCAAAAATCGCGATATATTATTTGAATCACAATTGCCTAGATCGGTTAGCTTTCTGGCGAGGAAGAAGGCGCGTGTGGTCGCGATGGGAATTTTAATTCGTTCCTGCTTTAGGTGGCACACAGGTTGTGGATGTGGTGCATATGCGCGGTACTGAAAACACTTTGTTTTCAGTCATCGCCGTGCGGAGAGCGCGGCTGTAATTAATGAGCGCGCTCATCCTTCCCAGGTGGAGGCGGCCGAGGATTCACGGGAGAGTAACGACGATCTCCCGACGACGGGGTCTCGCATAAAGGAGGGGATCCACCTCATTACTCGGCAGATCACGTATAGATACGGGAAAACACGGTAAACTTCACACGCGCGCGAAATGACGAATGACCGTGCGTTAGGGTAGCCGAGGAGGTGTTCGGTGTATCGTCGGAACGGAAAAGGCATTATCCGATCTTACGCCACCGCCTAAAAAAACATAGGCGCTTCCCCGAGGGGCAATTAAAGATTGTCGCGATATCTCGGATCGGATTAGAATTAACTCGTTAACAGCCTTGAGCTTCACAAGATCACGCGCGATTACGATCTTGGGAATCGGCTTTATCGAATCGCAGATCGTCCGGTCGATCATGGAATTTCGCGATGGGAACGCGAACGTTGAGGTCGCGCCGGAAGTGGCGGAAAACGGAGATCGACTCGATAAATGTCATCAAGAAAGCCCGTTATTTCGGACGATCGTGTTTATCGCCTATTGACTCGCGATTGCAAGACGAGAGAAAGAGAGAGAGAGAGAGAGAGAAGAAGTAGAAGGAGGAGGAAAACCACCCCCGCTTGGAAATACAAGGATGAAGAGCGCGCGCGACAGTCGTTCGCCATTCTGCTAAAGACAATGAGGCGTCGCGGTCGTCTTAAAAGCCTCTCGGCCGCAGATCGATCCTATAGCAGGGTTTCCGAGATCCTCTCTCGTATTTTCTTTGCTAATCGAGTCTCGAGTCGGACCCGTACTGTTACCACGGTAACGCCTCCTCGAGAGGCGGAAACGTCGGATTGTTCGTCCTCTCTCTCTCTCTCTCTCTCTCTCTCTCTCTCTTTCTCTCTCTCTCTTTCTCGTTCGCGATGAGAGAAAAAACCCGATTGCAAAGAACGGTAACCTCGAGACGAATCATTTGTCTCTGAGGAACGCGTTCGCGATGCAGATCGATCTTCGCAATATCTACAATTTTTAATTCCACCGAGAAAGATAATAAGATTATCGCGGTATTCCTGTTATTGTACGAAAGTTAAGTGTTTTAGTATAATATTTTCATTAAAACTGGTGCTTGTGTGCCCTTTAAAATAAATTCTGCAATTACTGCTCTGCAGAGAAGAGATCTGGGCAGTGGTAAAAAAAGAAATTAATGATATTTTTTATGAGCCTTATCACGTTCGAAATACGCTTTCACCTAAGATTATTTAATTAATATCATGAAAATACGTCTTTCATTTTACGTGAATATTCATGTAAGCTCCCTTTTCATCGCGCCTAATGGTGTACTCAGATAGATTAATATGACACGTCGGCGCAGAGGCGAATCCTTCCAATGGTGTTGAAATAATCTCCGATCATACGTAGCAGGTACCGCGACTGAAGAGCTAAAAAGTACGCGATGTGTTAATCAGATGAAATAGCGTCATGTTCTTGCCAACGCAATCGGGACTTGATCGTGGTTGAATTATACTCGTGAATAATGAAATAACCGACCGTGAATACACGCGCCGTTCGATTTTGATTTTGCGCGAGCACGGTCATGGTACAAAAGACAAGAGCGGCTATTAACACATGATTCAAGATCCGCTATCACAAGCGGGAATCGAGTTCCGTTTTATTACTTGTGCTTTCAATTCTCTGTTCATTTATCTCTCGTTTGTTATCTGATATATCTGTTCTGCGCATACATATATATTATATATAAGCACTTGTATCTTCTGAATTTTCGCTAATCTGCAATTTTTAGCGTAACAGATAACTTAATATTTTTTCCAAACACTTGAATTCATTTAAGTACTGCTTCGTCGACGCATCGACACGAGTACAATTTTTACACTTTTGCAAGTTTTGTTCTTTCTCTTTCGTCTTTCAATCTTTCACCCACGCCATCGCCTTTCTCCTCGTCGCTCGCCCTCATACGTGAGACATCCGACGCGTTTTAATTATGCTCTTGGACCGCTGGCCTTTATCTTCGCCCTTTCACGAGATACCCGCACGAGGCGGTACAACTTATTATGTGCCAGGGCCTTCCGTCCCGTCCCACACGGTATTCCACGGCGATCGTCCCCATTGAGATCATCTTAATGTCGTGGCGGGATTAAAACGCGGGGACTCGGGTGTCAATTTTTCGGCGCGCATAAAAGGGACATTAAAGCTCTGCGGTTTAAATTTCGTTGTACCAGGCAGCGCCGTGGTCGGTGCTAATTGTGTTTCGATAGGCGATAAATCGAATGAGTTTTCAATACCTGTAGCGACAGCAACGTTGTCCACGTCGATGCGACTTCTTTATTTCAATGAACTCTCATGCCAAACTGAAGTAATTCGTAAATTAAAACACCTTTCAATCAAGTAATAAGTATGATATTCTGAGCTTACAAAGAGAGAAAACTATGTAAATTAAAATACTGAATTTCAAACAGCTTGAGGCGTTAAATGAAAGGACGATACTCCTACAGACGATAAATTTCCGTTATAACTCGGAGATATTTTTCCGTTATAACTTGGAATACCATCCTTGACATTTAGCTGGTATTTGATTCTCACTCTTCAATTATAATAGTTGAAGCGATTAAATATTGTATTCAATCATCGCTTAATCCGATCACCTGTGTGCCTTTAATCCATTAAATCAGCATGCTCGTAATTCTTGTCCCACAGAGCTATTACTTATGAATTTACACATCTTTGTAATATCTTTTAAATATTTCTATCAACGCTAATAAGGGATTAAGCGCGGATCCATCGGGGAGCCAGTTATAGAATAATTTACGATCGAATTATGCCAGTCTCCTCTCTTCTCGGCGACCAGCATTAAATTTTCCGCCCATCGATGTTCGGAAAAAGATTAATGAAGCACCATTATAATTACCGACCGGTAAACAGACTTTTTGTACACTGTCTTAGCGTTGATAATCTCGTTTACGAAATAACGTAAAAGTTAAGACAATTCTGATAGACGAGAACAACAAAAATATCTATTTATGCGCATAGATGCATAAAGAAGACTGAAAGAAGATAATACTTGATGTTTCTCTTGTACATCTTTTAACTTCTCAAAAAATATGCTCATAACGGTTAGACTCAGAGGCAAAGTTTCGCTTACACACTTTAGAATAAAGATGCGTAGTACGAACTCGATTCGCTTCTTCGTGTTCTTTCTTCTTCCGCGTGTACTAAAAACGATTTCTTACGCACTTCGTTATGCATTTACGCGTTGCTCGTGCACGCGTGCGCTCGCGCGCGCGAATTCGCGTGGCGAATTGCAGCGCCGAAAGAGCCGCGCGATGGCAAAGGCCAACAGGTGACGTTGTACTTTCGGCGCGAGACGCGGCGGTGATTAAAAAAGAAATTCATCAGCGCGCCGGGGGAAAGTATCAGGTGCAGCGGCGACGGACGAGAGGGGGACGATGCACCGCCGCCGTTAAAGTATTTATGCCGCATGACGAGTCACTTTTGGAATCCCGCCGTATATTATAAAGTATTATGCACGGGGACGATGACCAGGGCTCAAACCGTGACGGAAGCTACTGTAATTACGCGCAAGATGGTCGTGCGTAGCCGGCGTTGGTAGCCTCCATTGATTCCCGATCGAGAAACACGCGGTGAAAGGTGCGCGGCTTTTGTCCCGGGCCTCGGGGAGACAAGTGTCCGGCTTTATTCGAATTATTCAAAATTACGTTGAGAAATTGCATTCCGTAGCCGTCGCCGACGCCGTTCTCGTGATTCTCATTTCAATCGTCGCATACGTAACGCAAATTTAACCCTGACATCCATCTGGGTCGGTGAGTGATTTTCAGAAGATTGAGAATTAGCATGCAAAATAGTACTTCTAACAGATTCTTTGTGAATATATTATTGTATAAGCCTATTATATGTTTCCTTTTGTTTAGTATTAATTATGCTGTAACGTTAATTATTATTGAACTTTGGAGTCGTTCGTGACATAGTAGAAAAACTAGCATGATATAATTAGCTGAACTGATGACTAGCTATGCTGATGTATTATTCGTGTTCAACTCTTCGAGATGGAATCGTGATCCCGCCGAAATAAATCAACCTAATCCTTCACGAACGAGTTTCTACGATTTCGTTTCTTTCTCTCTTTTTTTTAATAGAGCGTAAAAAAGGCGATCGATTTCAAGTCCGATATCGCGAGCGGATCTGTCTTGAGAGTTGCGCGAGACTGACGAGGGATATCATTTTAACAGAATCTACCCCGATGTCAGGCGACACCGTGGATTTTGATGCGTGGTACGAGACCCCCTCCCTCCCCGCTGTCCCCCCTCCGTTCGGACCCCTCGTTCGGACCAACCCCGTGCCAATGCTAAATACCTCGTGCGTACAATGGAGTACATATCGTTCGAGAATCTGAGCCATGCGAAGTCTTCCACAAAAGGTAACTGGATACCGGTACGAGGAAGAGACGGCATGTGAACAGA